GAACTCAGGACTTTGTGCCTTGTGAGGCAAGTGGCGGAAGCACTGAGCTAAATCCCTGGCCCATTAACGGAACATTCTTTTTGTTTTGTTTTGTTTTGAGACAGGGTCTCACTATGTAGCTGAGACTGACCTGGGACTAACTATGTAGCCCAGGCTGGTCTCAAACTCACAGCAATACTCCTGCCTCAGTCTCCCAAGTGCTGGGATTACAGGCGTGCACCACCACATCTGGCTAACAGAACATTCTTGTGAGGGAGCAGAGGTAATGGAATATTTCTGAGAGGGGCAGAGCTAATGGAACATTTCTGAGAGGGACAGAGCTAACAAAATATTCCTGAGAGGTCATGAGAGTTCAAACATTTACAAAGTATTTTGATAGAGGGGCAAAAGTTCATGGCAGCAGAAGACAGCAAAAGCGACAAGAGACCTTAACAGCACCTGTCTGCCCCTTTTATTTTACTCATACTACTTGGAGTGGGTAGCACTCATTGCACCATGAATCAATCACTCTAGCTTCAGCCATCTCTGAGAAAGCCCCACCTACTATTGCAGATAGCTAAGTAGGTTAGAAATTACTGTAAGAAAGTTAGGTAAGGCTGGGCCCTCAGCACAGTAAACAACTGAGGCTCATTCACTGAAGGTTAACATTATAGAAAGAGAGAAACTACTACAGTCACTCACCTCCCCTGGGGGCGAATAGAAGTGATTGATATTCTAAATCAGTGTCACTCACCTTAACTGGGGACCAAATCATCCTTAGCTAGCCCATTCCTTTTGGGAAATCCATGTAGGCTTTCTATGGGATCCCTATTTAATCAATATTACCTGGCCAACTCTACTTATCATTTTATTGATTGATCATGGTTTTGTCCCACCTCCTGCCCAACTTACTATTTTCCATTGGGTCTTATAGTTTTGTTCCACTTTGTACCCTTCTCACCTCATGGCTTTGCCGTATAAAACACTGTTGAGGGCTGGGAATTTAGCTCAGTGGTTCCATTGCCTGCCTTGCAAGTGCAAGGTCCCAAGTTTGATCCCCGGTACCAAAAATACAAAAACAAAAGCAAATGAAAACTTTTGAAAAGTGGAGTGGAGGCCCGGGATTTAGCTTAGTGGTTTCAGCACCTGACTCGCAAGCGCAAGGACCCGAGTTCGATCCCCAGTACAAAAAAAAAAAAGAAAAAAAGAAAGAAAGAAAAGTGGTGTGAGCAGGCAAGCCACTTTCAGGTCCTTCTTCTATCTCTCTTAGAAGCTTTCTTTCAATATACTTTTCCTACTCTTAACCTCTGTTAGGAAAAGTATTAAGAAGCTCTAAGAGCCCAACCCCTAGCAGAGTCAGCTAACCACGACAGGTCAAAAGGTCACTTTAAACATTCCTGAGAGGCAGGAACCAAGATAAACGTCTGGTGCGGAACAGACCCTACCCCTTTGAACAACCCATGGTCCCACTTCCCCGAAGTCCCCACCCTTTGTAACTGAATGTTCCCGTAATTGACCCCTTTCTCGGAATTCCCCCTACCCTATAGCTTGTGGTTTTTGCCTTTAAAAACTGTGTCTCTACCCTGCTTCGGGGCTGAACTCCTCTGCCCCTGTGAGGGTTATGAGCTGAGCCCCAGCGCGCTGGAACAAAGACCTCTTGTGTTTTGCATCAAGAATCGTCTCTCTGGGGTGTTTATGGTGCATCGTGGCGACCCGGACTTAGAGTGGTGGGATTCCTCCCTGGGAGGATCTTACACCTCCATTGTTCCTAGAATTCATTCTTTGATTTTAGAGAACATGGATTTATGTTTTGGACACCTAGCAGCTTAGAAGTGATAATATTCTCCTTTGTTTGGATTATTTTTGCTTATTTGTATTCTATTTTGTGATTACTTGGTACCTTATATCAGTGTTGCAGTTGAATAGGCCAATGATAGTCTAGGTTCTTGTGTATAACTATTGTAAAGAGCTAAACTATTCAAAATATAAGGCAGTTAGGCAGAGCTAGGCTCTCAGTGGCATGTGGGACTGCATAATTTTGTAATCTTAAATCCTAGTCTCAACTGGGATTAATGTAAATTAACAGGTGAACATTTAGTAGTTCTGGGTAAAAAGATAAAGATTTTTTCACTCCTTATCTGCCTAGAAGGAATGTTTTGAAAACCTTGGGACATTCTGTAAGCATCTGGAGTATAGACACCCACCCGGCCTATTCCCCTATAAAAAGGACCTCAGCCCCTGAGCTGGCGCCTCTCTGAGGTGCTTGGCTCGGGGAGTGCTGTCTGGCCAGACTAGTAAAAGTCTGTTCCCTTTCCAACGTGTCCGGTGTGTTCCTTCCCAGGTGAATCTTGTGGCTCTCTAGCTCTTTGGAGAGGTAAAGTCGAGCTCCTCAGAGTGGTAGAATCGAGCTCCGCGGAGTGGTAGTAAGGCCCCTGGTCTTACATTTTGAAAGCCCTCGGTGGCTGTTGAGCTCCTTTGAGAGGCAGTAAGGCCTTAGGTCTTACAGGCAGAAGACAACTGTGGCCTGAGGCTCACTCACTGAAGGCCAAAATTCAAGAAAAAGTGAAACTACTACACTACACCCACCTACTTCCCTTAGGGATGAACAGCAGTGATTGATATTCTAAATCACTTTGAGTGGAGACTGAAACCTCCTGAGCCAATTCCTTCCTGGAAAATCCTTGTTCTTTTCATGTAAGTTTACCTTGTAACTAGCTTCCACATTTGATCCCCATTTAATCAATATTACCTAAATGACTACACTTGTAATCTTATTGGTTGATCATAGTTTTGTCCCACCTTATACCCACCCGTGATTTCCCATTAGATCAGTATTACCTGAGTGGCTGCACTTAAAATCTTTTAGTTGACTAGTTTTTTTGTCCCACCTTTCACCCACCTCACTTGATGGCTTTGCTCAATAAGATACCCTTGAAAACTGGAGTTCGGGCAACCCACTTTCTGGACCCCCTTCTATCTCTTTTAGACAGATTTCTTTCTCTCAATAAATTCTTCCTACTCTTTTATTCATTTATTCATTTTTGTTTTCTTGAGACAGGCTCTCACTATGTAGTTGTGTAAGATCCTCCCAGGGAGGAATCCCACTACTCTGAGTCCGGGATGCCACATTCACCATAAACACCCCGGAGAGATGATTCTTGATGCAAAACACAAGAGGTCTTTATTCCAGTGCGCTGGGGCTCAGCTCATAACCCTCGCAGGGGCAGAGGAGCTGAGCCCCGAAGCAGGGTAGAGACACAGTTTTTAAAGAAAAAACCACAAGCTATAGGGTAGGGGGAATTCCGAGAAAAGGGAGGGGGGACTTCGGTGGGGGATCATTTACGGGAATGTTTAGGGCTAGGTCAGGTCGTTCCAGTACCAGATGCTTATCTTGGTTCCTGTTCAGAAATGGTTAACATGACCTTCTGGCCTGTCATAATTAGCTGACTCTGCTAGGGGTTGGGCTACTGGAGCTTCTTGAAAACTTTCCTAACAGTTGAGATTGACCTGGAACTCACTGTGCAGCTCAGGCTGGTCTCAAACTCACAGTGATCCTCCTGCCTCAGCCTCCCAAGTGCTGGGATTACAGGAATGTGCCACCACACCTTGCTATTCTTCCTACTCTTAACTTTCAATTTACTCATCGATTTTAGAAAACACAAACTTGGCACTTTGGACATTTATCAGGATGGGAGTTATAATATTTATATTATTTGGAGGTCCACAGATCATATACTGTATATCACAACAAAGACTTGCCAAGTGTACACCCAGTAAATATTAAGTAGCTGCATTTATTGAAGATCATGCAAAGTTATGCTCAGGATGAGTCTGTGCTAACAAAGGTGTAATACACCCAGAAGGGTGCTGGGGTGACAGAAAAGCATGGTGCACAGGTCAAAGGTAGCAGCAGCAACCAGAAAAAGGGGGGAAAGAGTTGGTCACGTGCTCTCAGCCTTAACAGACCAGGCACCACTGAATTTCCCAGGGCCCAGTGCTCCAGTACCTTTGTTTTGCCTGGGGCATCAGGGCCATCTCCTAGGCTTTTGTTATTTTATTTTCCTCTTCTTTTAGGGTAATGGAAGCAGGAATGATTATTGGGTGCTATTTAGAGTCAAATGGCAGGAAGGGAATGACTCACTCAACTCCTTTGTTTCTAATTGTACTACTGGAATTCCAAGCAAGTATCACCAGGTCCAGCCCAAAAATGTATGAATGATTCCTTTGTTAACTAGGAACAAGAAAAACTGGAGGTTTTATTCTGGATTTTCCTCTGCTATAGGATTACTGTGTAGAATCAAGGAGAGACTCAGCCTTTGCTGCAACCCAGTGTGAGACCAAAGTAAAAGGGACCTAGGAGCCAATGCTCTAACCCCCTCCCAGTGTAGCCTTAGCCCCAACCTTTGTTCAAACCTTGGTTTAGGAATGTAAGGCAATCTTGTACTGTTTGAAGTCTGGATCATGATTAACGGGTAAATTAGTGGTTCTAGACTATGAGATAAAATCTGTACTGTACATAGATACCCCAAGTTAACTGTGGAACTGTTTGCTCATCCTGAATGTCTTGGTGGCTTTTGAAACATCCTATAGGTATCTGTTAATCATCGATGTGTGACTACCAAATAACCTTTGTCCCCTGCCTACAAGTTTAGAATGTTAACCCCCCTTTTTTTACTCCCTTATAAAAAGGACCTCAGCCCCTGAGATGGCGCCTCTCTGAGCGAGCTACTTAGAGTGCCGTCTGGCCAGACTAACAAAGGTCTGTTTACCAACCAGCCTGGTGTGTTCCTTCCTGGGTGACTCTCGCTGTCTGTCGAGCTCCCGGAGCCTCGCTGAGCTATAGGTCCCAGCATCACGAAGACCCTTCCGGCTGTTCACGCTCTGCAGAGTGAGACTTTAGGTCTTACACCAGCACACAGCTGACTGACCATTTTTCCCTACCTCTAGTACAAGTTGGAGGAGACAAAGTGAAAGTCTCCTGACTAGGAATGCTGTGCCCAGTCTCTCAGTGAAACCCTTACTCAAGACACTACACCGTGATAGAGTCCGAACAAGAATTTTATTTTGCCGGTCAGGAGCCACTCTTCCTCCAGAGGAACTGGCCACGGAGTCAGGTCCCAAGCTGAAATTGAGTACAGTTTTTATAGGAAGACCCCCACACACACCTCCCACCCCATCTTCCATCCTCGCAAAAAACAAAACAAAAACATTACTCCCTCCTCCCACTCCCCTTTACCTCAGTGTAAACTTCCTTATCTAAGCCTAAAGCACATTTACAGAAGCGAGAAGGAATGCGCAGTTAAGACATCTGGGACCTCTGGTACAATTAAAGGCATCTCCCGTTATCTTAACCAGAATAGCATGAAATGTTTCAGCTAGGGAGTGGGTCTTCCCACAGGAAAACTCCAGAGTTCAGATAGGGATCAGATAGTACATCTGGCAGGTGACCCTCCTAAACCTTTCCTGCTATGTCAGTTTTATGGTAGCCACAAGCACGCTTTGTGGTCTCTAAAGGGCAGTAAGTGGGTTTTTCCCAGAAGGACAATCTTGAGGTTGCACAGAGGACAAGCTAAACCAACAAAGGGTGGGCTTTAAACAAAATGGAGTCACTTATGTCAACCCAGGTTTCTCAGGAAAGTGCTTTCTAAGGCTTACTGAGTAACATGCACACTGGACATGAACACTTTGCCTCCTTCCCTTGACCTTCATCAGCCACCCACCCACGGCAGCAGAGCCTGCTGGTCAGATGGGCACAGAGCTCTCTGGGGAATAATAGCTGCCATAGAGGAAACCGGCAGTGGGAACAACCCAACAGATCAGCAGGCCCCTCAGTGACCTAAAAAATGCAAGCACATTCATTCCCTGCACCCAAAACTACAGGCCTTCTAGAGCTTCACTCTCAGTTGTGATAGCCAACCCAACTCCATTTTGTGCCTCAATGACATTTTGTACCTGTGCTTGAACAAAGTGCTTATGCTTGGACAAAGCACCCAAAACCCCCACATCTGCTTGGCAGTAAACTAGATGCAGTTGCAGGATATTGCCCCCACTAACTTGGTATGTGTCTGCTTCTGTAAGATTCCACCTGCTCTCCCATGAGCCCTCCCCAACTAAAAGCATGATTTAAACAGAGAAATCAAACTGCTTCCCATTGCCAAGGAAACTTTCTAGGCACTAGCCCCTCCTTGGCCACTGGCTGTAATACGCGGGCTCAAACTTGGCACAGAGTTTGGCACATCTCTGTTGTTTGAACTCACCTGTCCATAACACAGTCACAAGCAGAAATCCAAAGATCACCAGAACTCCAAAGAAAGTCTCAGTCCTTCAAGACAAGACCAAACAAACCCAAAGATTACCTTCAAGAAAGATAAAATTGGGCCAAACAAGCATAAAGATTACCTTCAAGAAAGAGAAAATTGAGCCAGGAGCTTAGCTCAGTGGTTCTGCCACCTGCCTCACAAGTACAAGTCCCAAGTTCGATCCCCAGTACCAAAAAGGAAGGAAGGAAGGAAGGAAGGAAGGAAGCAAAGAAAGAAGGAAGGAAGGAATGAAGAAAAGCTGGCAAGGGATTTCGCTCATTGGTGCTACACCTGCCTCAAAAGCACAAGGTCCTGAGTTTGACCCCTGGTACTGGGCCGGAGCGGGGAGAAAAAAGAAAGAGAAAACTAATTTCTGTTCACTTTAAGTATCTGGACAAGAGCTCCAAAAAATTATGAAATACCCCCAAAAATCAGCTGGGCATGCAGCAGGAGGATTGCATGTTCAAGTCCAACCTGGGCAACTTAATTTATTAAGACTATTCCAAAATTTAAAAGGTGTTGAAGATGTAACTGAGTGCAAAAGCTATGGTTCATTTCCCAGAAGTACCACACACACACACACACACACACACACACACACACACACCAGCATTGTGGTTTAAACAAATAACAATAAACATAAAAGATAAGTAGAATAGTTTGTAGAAATGTGCCAGGCAAGGAAGACAAGGAAGAGGAGAAATTGGTCTAATGAACTGGACAGTTTTAGCATTTGAATTTCATAAAGCTTTCTTGGGGTGGGGTCAGTCAGGAGAGTCTCAGGGAAGAGTGGCCACAGGGGGAAGAGAGGGGAGGGTGGGGCTGGGACCGGAAGGAATGAATCAGTATCGGCAGAGTGGGTCCCTGATTCAATAGGCTGATGAGGCCCATTGGCTAGGCCTGTAGTTTTATCTTTCCAGAGCTTGAGGGCCCAAGGGAAGCAGCTGCTTAAATCACTGGTCAGGTTTGCAAATTGTGGCTTCTGTAGCTTTCCATTTCTCAGTACTGAAAGAGATACTACGACAAGATGCCGCATTCTTCCGGGAACAACATTTTTTTTTAAAGAGCAACATCCATTTAGACAGAAGTCAAAGACCTGATAAGAGCTGTGGGGAGGTGGGTGCTAGAGATCAAATCCAGCCCTCTTGGAAGCTAGACAAGGGCTCTACCACAGAGCTATGTCCCTAGCACAAAGGACTGTTTAAAATTGAGGAAAAAAAAAAATCCCGCAGTTTTCTTTCAATGCTAAAGATTAAACTCAGACCCTCACAAGGCAATCAGTCTACCACAGAGCTACATCACCAGTACTTTTTTTTTTTTCCGGTACCAGGGATCCAACTCAGGACCTTGCACTTGTGAGACATGAATGGTGCCACTGAGCTAAATCCCCAGCCCAACCAGTATTTTTGTTTTGTTTTGTTTTTTGAGACAGGTCTCACTATGTAGTTGAGACTGACCTGGAACTCACTATGTAGCCCAGCCTGGTCTCAAACTCACAGAGATCCTCCTGCCTCAGCCTCCCAATCAACCAGTATTTTTTATTTAGAGACAGGGACTTGCTAAATTGCCCGGGCTGGTCTCAAACACAAGATCTTCCTGTTTCAGCCTTTCAAATGAGTAGGATTAAAGGCATGTTCCACCAAGCTGGATGATAAAATGTAAAAAGGTATTGTAGTTCAGTGGTAGTATGCTTGCTTAGCATTCACAAGGTCCTTGGTTCTATCCCGATGTTACCCCCCAAATAAAAAAAAAGTTAAAATGCAGCAAAAAGACAAGATATGAAATTGAAGAAAATCTATTAAATTTTTTAACTTTAGCAGCCAAACAATGAGATTTCCAGGAAGAAAAAAAAAAATAGGAAGAAATCAATGAAATAATTCAAGAAACAAATTCTAGAACTGAAAAACACAAATTTCCCAATTGAAAGTGCCAACCAGAATAGTTTAAAATTCTCCTAACCAAAGCATGTGTTTGTGAAAATTAAGCATCAAGGCAGTTGGCATGATGGCACAAGTCTGTAATCTATAATTCTGCTGAGGCAGGAGGATTCCAAATTTAAGGTCAGCCTGGGGAATTTAGTAAGACCCTGTGCCCCCCCTCAAAAAAAGGTTGGGCATGTAGTTGAGTGGTGGAGCCTCTACTGGGTTCAATACCCAGTAAAGAGGGGTAGGGAAGAATCTAAGACAAAGACTCATTCCGGAAAAAGGAAAAGTAGGAAGGATGTGGGGAGAGGGGAACAGTGAAGAGAGTAGAGAAACATAAAAAGGGAACAGGAAGTGAAATTGCTTTACATTTCTCAATAGCAACCCAGGTAGTTAGAAGACAGTCCTGCAATGCTATAATACTGTAAGATCCTCCCAGGGAGGAATCCCACCACTCTATGTCCCGGACGCCACGATGCACCATAAACACCCCGGAGAGACGATTCTTGATGCAAAACACAAGAGGTCTTTGTTCCAGCGCGCTGGGGCTCAGCTCATAACCCTCACAGGGGCAGAGGAGTTGAGCCCAGAAGCAGGGTAGAGACACAGTTTTTAAAGGCAAAAACCACAAGCTATAGGGTAGGGGGAATTCCGAGAAAGGGGTCAATTACGGGAACATTCAGTTACAAAGGGTGGGGACTTCGGGGAAGTGGGACCATGGATTGTTCAAAGGGGTAGGGTCTGTTCCGCACCAGACGTTTATCTTGGTTCCTGCCTCTCAGGAATGTTTAAAGCGACCTTTTGACCTGTCATGGTTAGCTGACTCTGCTAGGGGTTGGGCTCTTAGAGCTTCTTAATACTTTTCCTAACAATACCAGTGATGGGAGAGGCTGGGGCAGGAGGATCACCTCAAATTGGAGGCCAGCATGGACTACATATTGAGACTTTTGTCTCAAAAAAACAAAAACAAAACAAAGCAAAACAAAAAGCCAATTCGCCTGACTCAGGGACACACATTGACTGGTCTATCCAGAAGGATATTTTAGAGGATGAAAATGAACAGCCAGATAAGGGAGGGGCATTCCACACATGACTCTGGCTCTTGTTGTGGAATTCAAGAGACAGGAGAGACCACTAGGAGGAAACAGGAGGATTTTATTAGGTACACTGACTCAGACTTCAGTCCAAAAAATTGAGTATCCAACAAAGGAGGGACTCTGGTTTTTATATATTTTGTCAAAGGGATTGGCATGAAATGAGACAAAGGCGATTATTTACTCAGTGACAGTCTACAGCTTACCCTTGAAAGAAAACAGATCTCAGAAATTTTAGGATGCCATAGAACCCTGTTACAGGAACACAGCTCTCAACCTTATCTGCATTGTTGGGGAGAAAACAATTTCTAAGATGTCATAGGACTTTGTTTACAGAAATATAATTGTCTACCTTATCAATAGCTGAGCAGAAGTCAGCCTTGAAGGAAAGCAGATTCCTGAGAAACCAGGACAACACAGACTCTAAGAATTTTGTTTCTTACCGGATCAGTAACAGAGGTCAGCAATAATGGGGAGGAGGAATCTGAGAGGGAAACTGTGAAACTGGGAGAAACTGCTTAAGAAAACTGATTTTCTTCCAAATTCTGCTTTGTTCCCCCCTTTAATGCTTCCTAAAAATGTGTTTCAGTACAGAGCACAATCATCATCTGTATTTACTTTCTTATGGGTAAGTGGCTCTCTCTCGGGCAGAGGCTAAGAGTTAGGGCCATCAGAGAGGTCGTGCTGTGTCTGTCTACTAGGGTCTCTATAGCTGCCTGAATATTTTTGACAAGCAAGGGCAAGAAGCAAGGGAGAATGAGGCAAATGCCCAGGATAGCTAGGACTATTCCTATTAGAGTCTTGAATCCTCCAAAGAGGACATCTGGAGGCCATCTCTTCCAGCTTTGGACTGGGACGTGAGCTGGCTTTTGAATTCTGGCAGTTGCATCATTGATAACCTTGCCATTGTCATATCTAGGTAGCTGTTAGATTAAATTTTCCAAATCCTCCCCCTTCTTGGTATAGGAGGTAGTTTATGGCCAATCTATTGGGGGAGGTACTGGGGATTGAACTCAGGACCTTGTGCTTATGAAGCAGACAGCTGAACCACTGAGCTCAATCCCTGGCCCATGGCCAATCTATTTTGATAGATGGCATTTCCCAACTTTGTGGCTCGCCAGACAAATGGTTTAATGCTCTAGCTGTGTCACCTGTGATAAGCTCAAGTATAGCGTGTAACTTTATGATGTGGTTGAGAGTGTAAATCAGGGTTTGGTAATCCCAGGTCATGATATTGAATAATCTTTCTGGGGCCTCTCACTATCCCTCCAGTCACCTGTCTCTGCTGCCCTTCTGACCCTGTACCAGCTTCTCCATAAACAGGGCACCCCAAAGTTGGTCCCAGTTTTAAGGGGTTTACGAAGAAGGATGGTCTGATTGTCCCCAATAGGCATGCCCCTGACCATCTAGCTGGTAGTCACCAATAGGCTCAAAACTTATAGATCCAGCAGAGGCCAGAGGGTGACTTCCAGTCAGTAAGGGCCTTTAGTACCAAGAGTAACTTAAAGAGGGGAAAAAAAGAAAATGGAATAGAAAAAGGATTTTGATCTTTTTTTTTCTACATAAGGGGTTTTATTGTAATACCCTTATCTTTTTTTTTTGGTACTGGGTATCAAACTTGGGTCTTCTTGCTTGTGAGGCAGGCAGCAGAGCCACCTCAGCTCAAGTTTTGTTTTGTTTTGTTTTTTTTGAGACAGGGTCTCACTATGTAGTTGAGACTGACCTGGAACTCACTACGTAGCCCAGGCTGGTCTCGAACTCACAATGATCCTCCTGCCTCAGCCTCCCAAGTGCTGGGATTCCAGGTATGCGCCACCACTCCTGGCTTGTAATACCATTGTCTTAGACAAGTCAGATCTCCTACTGAGTCTGTGAAGGTTTTTCCCCAGTGGACAAAGCAGAATCTGCCTATGATGGAAGCCTTTAAGTGCCAAATGCTTGGGTTAGTGACAGTAGAGCTGAACAGAGTTGATTGTAGGGTAAAGTTGTCCTCTGGCGACAGTTCTCTAGCATCCATGGCCATTGGTTTCCCATTTTACTTCCCCCATAGAGACAGCACAAGGAGACACTGAGGTTTGGGCTATGTTTCAGCCAACTAGGTGAACAGGTTTCTGGCTATGGGAGAAGGTTCAGATCACTTTTGTGGGAAATGTTCATAGAATAAATCAAAGACCCAGAATGATTGAATTAAACAGGCCCAAGTCTGTTTTTTTTTTTTTGGTACCAGGAATTGAACTCAGGTCCTTGCAGTTTTGAGGCAGGCAGTGGAACCACTGAGCTAAATCCCTGGCCCCAGGCCCAAGTCTTTTTGACAAGATATATATACATATACTCCTGAGGTGGGTATCATATACCTGCGCTTTAAAATCATAAGATAACTTATAACCTATTTAGGCAAGTCTGTATGCAGAATGTGAAGTGTACAAGGTACAGGCCCTCCTTAGGCAGCCTAGTTTGGTAGGTATTGTTGTGTGCCTCTTGTCTAAACATTAAATGAAACTTTTTGCTGGCTTGGTCAAGTAGCCAATAGCCCAAGCTACATAGGTCATGAAGTATCATTGCCAGTCATTCATTGTCTGTCATTTGGTTTCACCAGGGTTGAAGCTGGGAGGGTGGGCAAAGTTAATGGCTGGTCCCCATCCATGGGCCACATAAGAAGAGGAGTAATCTCTGTAACACCTTTCCCATGACAAACGTGTGCATCAGGTTGCATGTGAGTCTAGATACATGGTTTGACATGGGTCAAAGTATGATGAAATGTCCCCCATATGATATGAGGGAACTTTAGTCCTGTTTAAAAGACCAGCGTCCCCTCTCCCTTTATGTCTCATGTAGACCTCAAACCAATTCTCATAAGATGGAGTCTTGGGGTCATAATGGATGTAGGCTTGGCTATTTCCTGGGTCACAAACTGAGCAAGTTGTTTGATTAGGAGTACATTTTCCCCTGGGTGTCCTTGTGATGTAGGAAATTTGAACTGTGGAAAGACCAAAGGCAGTCAAATAGGTGAAGGAACAGACTTTATTGACTGATCAGCCCAGAGAAGTTTGCACTTCAGAAAAATCTGGGCCCCGAATGTTTGAAGAGGGGAGGTTTTTATATAGTAGTTTAAGTTAAGGTGGGCTCAGATGAGCAAAGTGGAATTTTACAAAAGAAGTTTTTAGCAGATAAGCAGATCGTGTAACTGACTGGAGGTCAGGGGCTTACTCTAGGAATGAGCTGTTCACATAGCATAACAGGACATATAGGGCTAACAGAGGGAACATAACAGGATATACATTGTGAATGCTAAGGCTAACAGGATATGTATAAGAGGAGTCTAGAACTAACAGAAAGAACATAATATAACAGGATGGTCACAGAAATGTTCAAGGGTAACAGAAACATTGTTGAAGGCTACCATAACAGGATGTTCAAACTAACAGGAACATCTTGTGGTTATTTATATACATTGTCGGTATATTTAAGAATAAAATGTCTATTGGGAGGAGCTATGGGGCTGTGGATATCTGGGCAAAAGTTATAGGTCAAAGGTTTAAATTTCCTGCATTAGTTATATATTCATAATAGGTATGTTTATAACAGGGTCCTGATTCTAATGCCCCCAGACTGGGTAGTATTGATGCAGTAGTTACATACCCCCAGATATTTTCCCTCTAGTAAGGGAAAAAGGAGAATTATAATAAAAAGGATAAGAGACTTTTGTTGTCATTGTAGCTCCATGTTGATCCTCAAGCTTCAGCCATGCATAAACTGGTTAGCTTCTAGACTGACCAGCACAGGGCTGTTGTTTCATTAAGCTTCTACCTTGTGTAGACTTGTCAGCTTCTGGGGTGACTAGAACAGGGCTGCTGTTTTTAGTGCTGTCTCAGTCTTGCCTCAGGATCCACCGGTTCAGGTGGTCTAGATCTTACTGATTGGTCCACTTGTCTTTGGCAGCCTGTTTCAGCTGACTGTGGTGGATTCAAGGCACAGTTCCTGCAACTTTAAGATCAGTGAGGTGAACAGGATAACAGTATAGGGCCCATCCCATATGGTTCCCAGGGTGGTTGTGTTCCATTTCTTGACCCAGAGTCCCCAGGATTGAAGGGGTGTATTGTTTTTTACTTTTTAGTGCCTGAGATCAAACTTGGGTCCATGTGCTTGCAAGGCCAGTGGTGGAACCATTGAGCTAAATCCCTGGCCCTGAAGGGGTGTATTGGATTTGGAAGACTAATGGGCATTCTTCTTGTACCCAGCCATAGATATCTTCGTGGTTACTCCCCAAACCTGCATCTTTCTCCTTACAGTCAATTACTCTAGTTCACAGAGATCACCCTTGATTTGACCTATGATTTGGGGCAGCTGGCAGAGCAGGATTTCATAAAGGAAATATTCAGTCTGTTTG